AACCCTGTGCGACTGAGGTAACGTTCATAGTAGGGTTCTCTATGTACAGGACTCGTCCGCCCTTTCTTGGGTACCCAATAAGTCTTTCACATACAGATTTCTATCAATAAAATAACCAACCACGCAATACAAATATCTCATTGTATATTTACAGATCAATAAAACAACATTTAAGCAAACAATATAATTTCATACCTCAATAATTAACAAATGTAATTGGGGCATTTATTTCAAATTAATGAATCAGATAAAGATCACGTTCAGATAATAAATAAATAAGAAAAATAATTTAAAAATAATAATTTTAATCATATGATAGATCAATCAAGCAAGTAGAACGGTATAGGAAAATAAATGAGAAATCAAGATAGTTGTGAACTAAGCAGTCCCGACTCCACTAGTAACTTATAATTATATTTAAGATTTTTTTATTTTTCATAAAAATATGAAATTATACATCGCTAAGTCTCAATTTACTGTAATAGAAAATAGGGTGAGGGATCCTTACCCGGATCGGTGTTTTGAGATGTCGTATTGTCTACTACGCCTCCTAACGAGTACCGAGTTTCCTGAATTTTTTTGTAGAATCCAAAACATTCGTCACATACTTAAAAATACTCCAAAAATCTAAAATCGGTACCCAAAACTCTTTTCGACCAATTTTTGGGGTTCTAGCATGGCGCTGCCACCGTGCTCTAGCGTTGACTCCGCTACCCACGGTGGCAGTTCACCTCGGCCTGGTCGATTTTGGTCGTATCCTTACAAAAAAAACATGTTAGAGGCCTCGGTTGACTGAAAAATTACAAAAAAACCGAACCTATCAACAAGGGAAACCTCCAAGTGCAGCGGCTCCACTGGTCTCCTTTCGCGGTTGAGGTTCTTTCTTTAGCTAACCTGCACAGCAAAGGATGGTGATACAATGATCGAAAAATCACGTGAACAGAATCAGAAGGGCTTATCGAGGAATTTAAGATTTGGCTGCGGCGGCTCCGCCGAGCTTTGCCCGTGATTTTTGCCTCACTCGCTATCCCTCTTGCTCTTATTTGATCACAATGGTACTCGGGATCAAATTTCGAGCAGGTAGGTGAAATTTTTACCTTTTTTTGCGGTCGAAAGTGGCTCCAGTGTGGCGACAGTCTACGGTGATCGGCGGTCAACGTCTGGTTCTTCTTCTCTAGCAAGAACTGGCAGCTAGGGTTTGGGTTTCCATGTGATGCAAAGTATTTATACCTCTCCCGCGTTGATCTAAGCCGTCAATCACAATCGATCTTGTCTGTTTGATCACACTAAAGAGGAAACAAATATGAATCATCCATCGCAATTTGATCTAGGTCGTCCAATTGCGCTAAGGGAGAAACGAATCCGAACGATCCACGCGCGCGGGATCGATCCTGGGTCATCCGATCGCAGGGCACGCAAATCGCTCGTATGGCCTCTCGCGTGACACCTACGTCAGCGTGCCTTGCCACGCAATATGCTATGATTCGTCGGGGCTACTGACTGGGCGGTCCTACGTAGCTGAATTTTTTTTTACACTTTTACCCCCTATTTCTAATTTTTCTTTCAAAAACACCCCACAAACCCAAAGTTTTATCCATTTTTTCTAAAATTATTTTCGATTACATCCCTAACCTATTTTTTTCAATAAATTCAACAAAATTAAATTAAATTAATTTATAAATAAATTTTTATTTATTTTTAAATTACTAACATTGATCTTGGGCTAAATTCTGGGTCTAGGTATTACATACGAAGTGACCCCAATTTTCTAAGTTCCTTTTATGCGAATCCCCTTTTATTTTACAATTTGACCCTGATTTTCAAAATTTGTTTCAAAGAGGTCCAAAATGAATTTTTTCTTCATTATTTTGCACTTTTTTAATAAATAATTTTTTTACTGTTATTATTATTATTATTATTATTATTATTATTATTATTATCATCATCATCATCATCATTATTTTTTTGATTATTATTTTTATTTTTATTATCATTAACATGTATAAAAAATATCAATCTTTCTTATTTCAAAATTAATTATTCCCAAGCCTGGGATGTTACACTAACTTTCTTTGAGTTTCTCTTCAACAATTTTCATTGCCTTTCTGTGCCCTCAATCTCAACGTCCCATATATTAAATCATGTCATTTCTTTTATTAAGATAGCCTTGGCTCACTCATTCGCAGCATAATCTTCGATTTCTTTTATTTATTTGACTTTCACTCCTCCCTTATCAGCCTAGGCAGCCACTCATCTGCCTGCTATCAATAAACAACAACTGCATAATAGGATAGAGGAAGTCTTTGAGCCCTAATCTGCTATGCTTTTTAGGAACTCACTTATTCGGTTAATGAATTCGTTAATGAACAAGCTCTTGTCTTCCTAAGTCTATGGTATCGTAATTAGCCTCTTTCGTCGACTCTTGTAAATGGTAATAATCCTTTTTCTGGTCCTACAACTAAGAATCTTTATAACCCTTTCGTAGACTTTGATTTAAGGCATAAATAAAAGAAATAGTCAACTGTACCCTATACCCCAAACGTCAATGATAATATGACAGCCAACCGTTTAGTATAGTATTAGTTTTGAAATCCCAAGTCAGGGAGAAGGAAGTCAAGAATTCTAACTGCTCGTAGCAAGAAATGCTGCATTTTTGTTAAAGTGGTTGGAAGGGACTAGAACACAAGTTACGCCTATTTTTAGTTTGGTTTTTTATTTATATTAGTGAGAAAGAGAGCAATTAAGCTCATTTAAAGTAAAGCTCATAGCTCTCTCTAAGAAGAGGTTAGTGGATGGGAATAATCAATCATACGAATAAGTGGAGGGGAGATACAAGTTGAGGAAGGATCACATATAGAGAGAGAGAAGGAGTTTAACTAGGCAGTACCCCAGCAACGGGGCACTACCCAACGAGATACAGAGTAATGATACTTGCCATAGTCGAAGAGGAAGATGGAGAAGTCTAAAGCCTTCCTTAATCTTAGTGAAAAAGGAAGGCTTAGGTGAAAGGGCATAAATGATATCGAATATCCCAGCTAGAATAAGAATAGGAAATAGGAGAGACTGAAGAATGATTGTAGACTAAGGCTAAGGCCTTGATTCCCAATAAGCTATTCAAAACTCCACTCTTGGGCGAGAGACTCTGTGGTAGAGTTGCCCTCTCTCTTCACAGAATGGCTATACCGATCTCTTAGTTGCAAGGTGGTGGCATTATCATCAATCAAACGGTGTTCCAAAGCAGAAAGGGCAAGCAAGGGGTTAATTTAAAGGGCTTTATCTCGTCTAGACCCTCTTCTATACATGATAGGGTTATATTCCAAAAGGGAGATCCCAATGAGCATGATGAAAGTGTGATTACGCCCTTATAAAGCTAGGATTTAAGGATGCTACTTAGTATTTAGATATAAAGGAGGAAAAGAGAGAGAAAAAGGCCAAATAATACACATGTTATATACCTTGTGCATTTATCACAAGAGTTAGCGATTGGTGAGGTTTGTGAATGATGGAAGTTTGCTTGCTCTACCGTAGGATGGTAAAACCAACCCATGGATCCAATCCTTGAATGGAGTCCCTATTTATAACCTGAGTCATTCAATCAGCTCAATTCTTATAATATTTTGTTTAAATAAATTTATTTTTATTTTTTATTTAAATAAAACCTTGTAATATTTTGAAGGTAAATATTATTCAGTCTGAATTAGGTCAGATTAAATAATATTCGGTTCAGTTTTCGACTTAATAAATTTTAATTCAAGTCTAGTTCAAATTGAAATGAATATTTTTAAATATTAAAAATTAAAATAATATATGTATAAGTAATATATATGTATATTATAGTAAAATATATAAATAAAATATTAAAATATTACACATCTAGATAATATATATATTTTTAATATTTAAAATTAAAATATTAATATATAAATAATATATTTAAAAATTATATTCTTTAAACAAATTTTGATCCTCTTCAATATTTTATTAGATTCGAGTGAAAAAATTTTATTCTGATTTGGTTTAGATTTCGACAGATACGTACTTTTAATAATATTATTTTACTTTTGTCTTAATTAATTTTAAACTATTTTTGAATAAGTTTTGAAAAATAAGTTATTATTATTATGTGATTTATAAGAGAGAGAAAATCAATTTAAAAAGATTAAAAAATCAAAATTTGAAAAAATGAAAAATAAGAGGGAAAAAGAAAAAGAAAAAAGAGGAAAATAAAATAAAGAACGAGGAAAAGGAAAAGACGGAGAAACTTCCAGCCGAAGCCCATCTAAGTAAGCCTAGCAACGCAGCCCTTGCCGAAGCCGAAACGACGTCATGTTAGCATGTTTTATTAAAAGCTTAAAGTGATGTCGTTTCATTAGTCCAGTACAACGACGTCATTTCACTAAATCAGAAACAAGAAATCCTCGGGATTCTGTTTGGTCGAGGTTAAAAAAAAATGAAAGAGAAAATAGAAGCAGGCTAATGGCGGCAGGGAAAGAAAAAGAAAGAGTGAGGAGGAGATTGTGTGTAGAAAAGAGTGAGGATTTTGCTTCGAGAATCAGGACACGGTGATAAGATTTGATTGATTCTCCTTCGCCTATAAAATTCAGAGCCGAATGAAGAACAAAGCCAGAATTTGCAAAATTCATTTGGTTTTGGTGGGGGGGGGGGGGAGCAAATCGAAAAAGAAAGAAAGTTGAAATCATTGTGTTTTTTTAGAAATTGTCTGCTTAATCTGTTTGTAAGACAAAAGAAAGATGGTATTAAGCCGTTGCAGAGGCCGTCGTTAATTAGAAATGCTTTCAACAATGGTTTTGGCCATAGCTTAGTTGAAACCGTTCATAGTCCTCGAAAAAGTCGATGCAGACTATGAACGAATCTGAGTTAATATTAATTGATTTATTTAAATATTAACTTAATCGAAATTGATAAGTAACAAAGTAATTTATAAATAAGAATAATTATCAAATATTTGTAAAAACTACAAAAGTGTAAAATAACTAATTTAAACCAACTGTTTTATTTTCCCATAATAATTATAATAAGTTTAAGTGGAGGAGGATTCATATGTAGAAATTTTTAGCACGTAAAGATTGTATAAGTAGTAGTTTAATAAGGTGGGGGAACGAGCCAAGTATCAGCATCCACGTAGTAAGTGTCTATAAAAGGCTTAGCTTCCTCGTCTGTCAAAATTCGTTCCCATCGGACTCTTCTTGTGAAATTGGCTCCAGGTCCGCTGCATTTGTATTCTCCATAGAATACTCTACTGCAATATTTGTGTATATTAATCATATATATATATATATATATATACATGTTTTTTGATAATTATTAGGAAAGAAATAGTTAATTTAAAAAGAAATATATAACTCACGTGTCACGCTTCTGATCACCCCAATCACTCCATCCTTGGGGAAGAACAACGGCATCCATGAAAGTATACGAGAAAACAACTCTTGAGTAATCGCCCCAGGCTCTTCCCAAGTAAACCAGACCACTTCCTGTCACCTTACAATTTTTGAACGAAAACCCACTTGCCAGTGAAGAATTTGATCTCTTCTGGGCTGTCAACCACGCCACTTTCTTCCCTATCGAGTTCAGTTCGCAGTTCTGTATATACATATATATATATATAGATATATTACATATGTTGTATATACATACATTTATTGACCTCATAGAGGGAGATTAAGAGCCGGGAAACTGACCTCATAGAAGGACCTTCCGTAGCCAAAAATGAAATCAACAGAGCCTTGGATGAAGCAATTGTGGAAATAGTGAAGGCCCTTGTGGTCATAAAGTGTGTCTTGTGCTCCTAAAAAACTGCAATTATAAAATGCAGCTTTTGTCCCTGATATACGAAGTGCCACTGCTTGTTCTCCCCTCGATCCGACGTTATGAACCGCCGTATTCTGTTAAACCCACGTTTTAAGAAGGTGGTCAGGTGATTGAGACTAATGTAAAGTACATTACTTTGCCTATTAATGGTTATAATTATTACCTGAAACTTGATGTTGATGGCTATAAAATAGTTTGCATCGACAGCGACAGTGGCGCTCTGGAATGTGTTCAACCGGATTCCATCTTTACCAGTAACCGATGCGGTGTCGTTTCCAGTTATCGTCGGTGGATTGGCTTCGTCCCCCACGAACGTAACAAACCACATTGTTCTGGGTATATGTATTTTTTCTCGGTAAACACCTGGTTTAATCATCACCACAACTCTCCGACTGTTATAAGTGGGGATGGTGGCGATTGCTTCGTTTATGGTGCTGAAATCTCCATCGCCGTCTTGACTAACTGTAATATTTACTCTGTACATCTCTGCCTTTCTCAGTTTCCGATCAACATTCCGGCCACTTTGTATCGTTTCGTCGACGGACATTGAGGAATATAAGTCCACTTTCTTTCTGTGATTTTTTAGGTTCCATGAGATCCACCCGTCGTATTCTCTTTCTGTGCTCTGCAAATCTAATGAAGAACAAACGATTGAGTTGGCAAAAACAAATAACAAAAGAACAAACAGGATATGGGACTTCAAGGCCATTTTCATCAATATGCGCGCCTCTGAGACCACCCAGAACTACATATATATATATATATATTTGTATATAAATGCCACGCCCATCGTCCTACACGTTATTTATAATTATATTAAATTTCATCCTATCATGTAAATTTATAGCATATAGTTTGGTTAAGTATATTTACAACCATAACCTTTACGTGCAAATCATTAGATATTTTATGGACACGTGTAAGTTACTTAGCCGCTAGAAGTGGAAGAAATTAAAATTCATAATTAATTAAAAGGTTATAAGGTGATTGCACTAAAAAATTATAAATCATGGAGTCGATATTTGATTAAATGATATATTCAGTTATCTCAGTCCATCCTACTTACTATATATATATATATATATATATATAATATTAATAAAATTTTAATAAATAAATATTTTTACAATATTATTTAGTAGATTATATTTAAATATTAATTTATTATATTTAAATATTCATATTAGTCGAATGATTGAAAATATTTAAATTTGAAATTTTATCACCCTCGTCTTATTGATTAACAATTAACAAAACGAATTTCTGTATAAGGCTATCTTTAAATAAAATTTAAACCTGATCAACTTAGTTTTATTCTAAATATTAGTAAGATCTAAAAGCATATTGTATTTAGTATATGAGTGATAACAGAGAAACTAAGACAAAATTAGAGAATAAAAAAATATAAAATATTTAATTTATAAGCAACATTATGAATTTTTCGATTAAGATATTTCAAAATTCAAATTACTCCATTCAGCTCGAGATTAATCTCAACCGGACTCCAAATTACAATTTTAGTATTCTCACCTCACAAATATTTACACCAATATATAGTTTGTATATATTCCTCCTAAGGGCATTATGGGTCCTAAAATTTTTATAATATATTCAATAAATTACAGAAAGCTTCTTTTTTCAATGATGATGAAGAGGATAACGAGAATGTGGATATAGCTGTATTCCATATACATTCATTTCCATTCGATTTTGCTGGTCTACAATAGAATGGAAATATAGATACGATATATACGTACATATAAGTTAGTGGTGTGGTGGCCACAAGCAGGGGAGTAGTTTAGCTAGTAATCAACTCTTCCTACTGTACATCCCATTTAGGGTGGGGGCAACAGCCCATGCCCACGAACACACACACACATATGTATGTATATATGTATACGTGTTTATACCCAATTCCTAATTTTGCTGTGGTGTTGGTGCTACTATACAAAAATCAATTGGGTACCAGCTTGCTAATTAATTTCTTCAATTGTGTGACTGAAATTTAGCTTGAACAACATATAATTTAGACAATTTAACAAGTTTTTCAACCATGGACATCATTTTGTGCACCGACTATAATAGTTTGAATATTCAACTCTTATATATTCTATTCTTACCTACAAGATATAATATAAACAATTACATTTTACTCTATATCTTAAACTATTTTTTATCACTGTATTCTAAATTTATCATTTTACATCATATTAGAGTTAACTAAGATTTTGAGAATTATATATATTTATTTATTTAATAATAATAAAAAAAAAGAGATGTAGGAACTATTGAGTTAAGAATTATAAGAATCATGCATGCCGAGTAGAGAGTAAATAATAAGTAACACTTTTTTTTTGGTGAATTAATTCAGTTTTTATTATAAATAATAGGTCATAATTATTAAATAATTATAAAAATAAATTATTATAGTTGTCAAATATGTTATTTATTCTTATCAGTTTTTATAAAATTTAGGTAGCGGAATATATAATTTTTGAAATTGTGATGTCTGTGGACCCATATTAGGAGTTTAAAACTTTATAATGGGCTATTAGTTCTAGTAAGGCCTTTAATGATTCTTAGTGTTCAAGTTGGGCCTTATTTACTGCAGTGATGTTATTCAAAGAAAATAATCATGTCCTACTTAATGAAATTTTATTTTTAATAATTTTTTTTTTTTTTATGTTAGACTTTTAGTTTTTTATAACTATTTCAAATTAAAAAAATTTAGTTATGGTAAATTTTTTTGTTTAAAAACGTAATAGATTCCCAATACAAAATTTGAGGAGAGAATAATATATAACTCGAGCCATATTGCGTTAAATTTTTTATGTTTGAGCACTTCAAAATATAAAAGAGTTTTTTTTTTTTTTTAGCCGAAATATATTTGATATTTTGTAAATTAGCTTAAATATAATAATTAATTATAATATAACATTATAAAAATAATTAAAAAAAAAACAAAACTTATAATTTATACAGGAAAAAAAAATACTTAAAATTTTTGAAAAATCATAGAAGACTTGAATCTTTTTTTTTTTTTTTTTAAAGAATGAAATATTTGTATTCAATTTTATTTTATTTTATTTTATTTTATTTGTGTATTATCTTTAAATTTTGTAATATAACCAGCATATTTCTTATATAAACATGAGACATGGCAAATCTTATTTGGATTTGGGTTGAACTGAAAAATGAATAAAAACCACCATCATATAATTATTTAATTGATTCAAACATATTTATGTGATCAAAACATTCGACCAAAAAAAGAAAAGCTATGGATGTTGTATATAAAGAAGTATGATTTTACCTTTAAATATATAAAAGTTTACTCATTCATAAATCACCAACTTGAAATCATTTCGGGGAAAAACAAAACTCGTTTCACATGCGGGGAGATGAGTGAGAAATGGATGATGTCATGCAAACGTAAGCAGTGACTGCATTAACACGTCATAAGTCGTCGTCTTCGTCTTCTTCTTCTACTTCAGAAACACTTGGACTCCTTTTATTAATTCTCCCTATAATTTATTTACACAACTAAATTCTTAATTATACATTTATTATTACTGGTCGAGGGTATTTTCACACTGGTTTATTATTAATTTTTTATTTTCTTAGTAAAAAAATTATTTTGATTTATAATTTTACGTACAGCATTCACATAGGTTATGAGTAATTTCGTTAAAAATAAAAATGATTGGAGAAATTAAGGTTAATGTGAAAAATCGTGGATTAAGGATATTAATTAAGTTGAACTGGTCTAATTAAACTGTTCCCATTAGTTGACTAATGTGTCAAAATGAGTGATTATTTTGAGGAAATTTTCTCTTTATTTATAACAAGAAGGAAAGAACTTAATTAAGAGGATGAAGAGCAGTTTCAAGGGTTGCGGCAGTTAGTGCTTCAGTCTAGCAAGCTCGTTGAATCTCCTTAATTATAACATCTATATATATATATATATATACTGTATATATGTATATCATTTAAAATTAGTAATAAAAAATTAAAATGAAGAAGAAGATGAATATGGGTATTTTTCTTTTTCTTTTTTTTTGGTGAATTGTGATTGGGAAGTATTCCGACGGAACATTGATGACTGGAATTTAAGATTGTAATCTGAAATTTTAAATAAAAGTTTTTTTAATGATTAACGTACGTACTTGGGTTTATAGCACCAGAATTTATATATATATATATATATATATATATAAACGTTTAAAATATGAATCTTCACATGCACATGATATTTGCTTTTTCTTTCAATCATAGAAACCCACTTCTTGCCTCTTCACTTTTTCCTTACAGAAATTACATGTATGAAGTTAATTACTAAAATTAAACATTAAATATCTCCGGATTTACTAAGATATTATGCATGAATATGATTGCAGATGTGATTTCCTTTGAGAGAGAATTAGAATTTGTATGTTGCGTGCATAATGCATACACCATAAATTTTGTATATTTAGTTAGTAATAATAAATTATATTTCTAAAAAATAATTATAATGGAATTACACGGCAAATTGTTAAATTTCAATCTCATTATGCGTCACGTAACAGAACTCATATCAGCTCCCAGATATTCACATCGCTCCAATTGCCTTGTTCGAAATTCAGAAACCCATCACCCAACTCCTCCGTCCACCACCCGCTCGAATCAACTCCCTCCGCCACGAACGCGTCTATCAGTTCCGACCCGGATTCAGTACTTCCGCTGTTTGCTTCACTTGGGTATGTACTAGTATTGCTGACGGTGGTATCTGTAGTGACGGCTTGAGCTGGAGAGGAAGAAGATGAACCGGATTCGGCTCGGATCTGCTCCATCAATCGAGGCATCCATACGAATTGCATGGTATCCTTGAATTTTTTGCTGTTGACATCACACTGGAGCTGCTTTGCCTGCTTCTGAACTCGGGTTCTCCAGTAGTTTTTTATCTCATTATCTGTTCTTCCAGGCAAGTGTTGCGCTATCTTCGACCACCTAAATTTTAAATTGCCATTACACACACCTTCAGTACTACTCATGTTTATAATTACTGTTTCTATATGTACATATATATACACACACACACACACACACACGATCTGTTTTAGGAATTAATATTACCTGTTGCCCCAGCGTGAATGGAGTTCCAGAATCAACAACTGTTCTTGGAGAGTAATGTTCCCACGTCTAACATCTGGGCGCAAGTAATTTAACCATCTTAGTCTGCAACTTTTTCCTGTTCTTTTAAGCCCTGCATACACAACTCAATCAATATATACATACATATCATATATATACACGCACCCAAGGAATATTTTATAAAGGGGATAAAGGAAATAGAGGATTACCTGAAGATTGAGCGACAGAGTTCCAGCGACCTTCGCCGTGTACGGAAACGTACTCCATGAGCAAGGCGTCTTCTTCAACCGTCCACGGACCTTTCCTCACGTCCATATCATCTTGATTAATGAAGCTCTGTTGGCTTGCAGAGCTAAAACCCCTGTCGTACACTTCCATTTCCGAGTATTTAATTTGTTGCAGAGACAGAAAAAATTGATAAACGGAGAGATTAATTAGCTTAGATAGAGCTTGGATTTCGGAGGAGTTAGCAGAGAGGGTTTATTATGAGATGATGGGTTTTAAGATAAGGAATGGAAGATTATATATATAGGGGGGGGGGAGGCCATAGCAGTGTACAAGAAAAAAAATAAAAATAAATTAAAGGTGGTAAGTCTGATTTGAACGCCTCATAAAAGTGAAATATTATACTAATTCTAAAAGGTTGTTTTAAAACTTGTTTTGTGAGTTTTATATTTGGAGTGTTGACCGTTTGACTTTTCCAGACCTATATCTCTCACGCGCTCTATAAGTTGAATGTATATGAACTAAGTGGACTCACGTTTTGATACAATCCCCTGTATAAAACGGCGCGTTTTGATCTAACTAAGACCCAACTTGCCTCTTTTTTTTATTGTTTTCTCCTTAGTTTTTTAATAAAGTTTATTTAAATGCGTTGAAAGATATTGCAGTGGTAAAATACAATGTTTTTCAACATGTGATGAAGGTTTCAACAAGGAACATATATATATATATACATATACATATATTAGATTTTAGTATTTGTAGCCGACACTATAAAGCCTTTCAACCTAGTGCTAATATACATACAAAGTAATGACTCTTGATTTCTCTCTCTCTCTCTCTCTCTCTCTTGAAAAAAGAAAAAACAAAAAATTAATTAATGACCAATTAAATTGGATTATAATGTGATTACCGTATTATAATGATCTTTTCATTGAATAGATAATAAGATTTGATGACCCTTTTTAAATTAAATATTACCTATAGTTTTATATATCTATATATATATGTATGTAAGAAGATTTATTACATCATTTCCCTTGTAACTTATTTTTTTCATGTCACGTCAAAAAATAATTTATCACACTTGGTTTTATTCTAAACATGACTATTTTACAGACACAAACTATTACTAATTATTACAACTTACATAATTCAGGCAATAATACTAAATGTTAGTATATAACTTAAAGTTGCTAAAATTTAATCCAGAATCTCGTAATATTAGTATCATACTATATGATATAAATACAATTAATTTATTTCAAAATTTTAAATTAATAAAAATATATATATTTAGGTTATATATTAATCTTTAAAGATTGAAAATATATGGTGTCGGCAGTATTCCTTTTTTTTGTTATATTTTCTTGTCTTTAAATTCATTATTTCATTTACCTTTTTTTTTTCATAAAGAAAATTCATATATTTAATTAATTTAAATTTTTATGGAGAAAATTGCTGGTACCTAACATTCATAATATCAGCAAACTTAAGAATGTGGGTGCACATAATTAATATATCTTGTTAAAGGATATAATCTAAATATAAGAATTTATATTAATATGTTTAACACTTCTCAAACGTTTTGAATATATGTATACATATACAGAGAGAGAGAGAGAGAGAGAGATAGAGAGGAGGAAGAAGGAAGTCAATATGAGATGCAGCTGTTCCCATTGCGACTCTGCACTTGAACTGTTTTCAGTGAGGAAATGGAAAATATTGATGCTGCTGGTATTGGCTGGTTGACCCGGAAAGAAAATAAATTGAACTCATTAAATCATAGTTTACTATTAATCTTTAATTATAGTGAGGAGGGTTGGTACATGTTCCTCAAACTTCCTTGTATTGTACTGGTTAAATCCATTACAATTGTAATGTTACTTTTATGTTAACTCTAAATAAATTGTATGTATGTATGTATGTATGTGTGTGTGTGTATATATATATATATATATATATATGACTCTGTGCATGTGTATTCATAAGAATATTTACTTTGGTAGGTTCCCACAAATTCTTTTTTTTTTTTTAAACTTTAGACTGATGTTTCTTGCATTAATTAATTTACGGGTCTACAAGACTGCATAATTTAATTAAGAGCATCAATTTGTTTGTTGTGTGTTAGGCCTCGTGGAGCAGTGAACATTCCATAATTTTACATAAAGATTTACCATATGAAAATAATTATTCAATATTCAATGAATATCAATTATAAATTTGAATATTTTCATCAAAAGATTAATAAAATAATATTTAAAGTGTATCAATTACATACATACATGTATAAAAAAAATAAAAAAATAAAAATCATTTTCCAGTAACGTTAAATAAATAAATAAATAAATAAATCAAAGTAGTTCTTTAGGATTCTCAAATCAGAAACCTGGTTTCTACTTCACGAGGGGAAACAGGAAAGGAATAAAGGCCCAACAATAGCATCGCCCAAATGATCTCATCCCTCCGACTTCTCTTTCTTTTTTCCCAATTAATTAATTCTAAACACAAAATAATATAATTTATTTATTCTCCTTTTAATTTGGGTATTTTTAACTTTTTTTTAATTTTAAGAAATAAACTAAAAATAATTTTATCAAAGTAATCTTCCCCCTAACAAATTTCTAAAAACTAAAAATATTTTAAATAAAAAATATTTAAAATACATAATTTGTCCTAATCACAGTTTATTACTCAACAATTTAATTAGCTTAATTTTTTATCAAATATATAACCTAAAATTGCCCCATCACCATTACTCCTAACAAAATAGATTGGTGTATACATATACCCGCTAGTTTATGAACAAAATCAACTATCTTAATTTTTTTTCAATACCCTTATATGGTATTAAACTACGAAAAGTTTGAACTGAGTACAACATATTTGAACTAAGGATATCAATGTTCAAATAGCATAAAATAATTCTTAAGCCAACATCTTGATAACTTTTAATTTTGCCTCTCAAATCCTACTCATGGATACCACCTAATTGGTTATATTGGTGGCTCATACTCGTGCTTTACTAAATCAAATGCACTAGAGTATAAGGTATGAACAAGACAAGGTAGCCTATAACTCTAACCAATATAGTCAAAGACTCCAAATGAATGGCTAAATACTTAAGAAAACTCGGAATAACTACCCATGAACTTTTGCCGACTAGATCTCCTCTTAGTGATGATGAACTAGTCTTACAAGCTTTTGACCTAAATATAAAGAGATTAACACTACAAAGTATGTACGTGATATTCTAATAACATATGAACATCTATTTGATAAACTTATTGACCATGAAATCTTCTTAAAACATGAAGCCAACAAGAAGCAACCAATCAACATCACAACACAATATAATCATCGTTTTACTAACTTTAACAAATTCAGAGGAGAAAACTAAAATATCAATCAAAGTAGGAAATACTTTTTCCAAAATGGTGGACAACAAAGAAGCCACAACAACCAAGGGTATTATAATCCAAGAAATCCAAATTTTAATCCTAATTGGTATCCATCTACATCATGCCTCAATGGAGGTAAACTCTAATATCATATATGTGACAAGTTTGGTCACTCAGCCAAGATATGTAGGTCAAGGATGATGTTGGAGCATCAAGCCCATCTCTCTATTCGAACTCTATCATCAACAAGAAAAAGTTGGCTCATGGATTCTATAGCTTCCCAACATATGACCTCTAGTATATAGAACTTAGCCACTTACTTTGAGTATATTAGCAATGATGATATTCTTGTTGGGAATAGTAATGACGTTCTTATCACACATGTAGGTTATATCACACTTAATACTCTTAATAATTCAGTTGCATTTAACAATGTTTTATGTGCACCTCGCATCATTAGAAATCTACTCTCAATTTCACAATCTCTGAAAACTAATAACACTTCCGTTTAATTCTTTTTCTTACTTTGTGGTGAAGGATTTGAGCAAGGGATTAATACTCATTCATGGCCAGAGTAAAAGGAGCCTATACGAATGCTCATCATGTAATCAAGCATATTTTTTTCCTTACATTTAAACTCATCACACATCTACCCGCAACACCATATTGCATCCAACTATATCTCTTTGGCATCAATAGGCTGCCCAAATAAAAGAATGCTAAATTTTTTAGTTGTATCTTATAATTTAGCTCTCTCAAAAGATTAACTTAAATTCATATAACTCCTGGTTTTGCAGTAAAAGTCATATGTTATCATTCAATATGTCTTCACTTCACAGCTTAGGACCACTTGAATTAATATATACAAATATATAAGGTTTTGTTCCCATCACATTCTTTGATCATTTCTAATAGTATGTCATCTTCATGGATCACTTCACCAAATACACATGGTTATACCCTCTTAAATAAAAATATAGCATTACACATGTATTTGAGCAATGTAAGACTCTTGTTTGAAAAATAGTTTTAACGTCTCATTATCATTATATATTCTGATCGGGGGGAGAATACCAAGGCATAAAATATGGCATTCAACATTTTTATTTTCCCCCTCACACACCTCAGCATGTTACCACTGCAAAAAGAAGATAGTTTCATATCCTTGAAACTGCTCTTACTCTCATAAATTAGGCCTTGATTCCCCTTAAGTTCTAGACCGAAGCTTGTCAAACTATTTTTTACCTTATCAATCACATGTTAACCCTTATCTTTTAGAAAAAATCTCCCTTTGAAACTCTGTTTCATGACAAGCTAAACTATCAAATGTTCAAGGTGTTTAACTATCTCTGCTACCCTTGGCTTAAACCATACGAACACCATAAACTAGAGTTCGAATCCCAACCACATATGTTTCTAGGCTATCCACCTCTCATCATTACTATCAATGTCTTGACCCTAATATATCACGCATATATCTCTCCCGCCATGTTGTCTTTGTTGAAAATTTTTTCCTTTTTAATCTTTATTCTTACATGCTCCATATGTCACAAAAGTCATTACTTCTACTTAGATTTTTTTTTTTTGTAGTTACTCTTATCTTACCATCAATTTCTGGATGTCTTACCACATGATACTCCAGTTTTACCACCTTCTGGTCCTATAATAGTTCCAACTCCACTGCCATCTACTTCATCAATTCCTCAACCACTTATCTTCACTCTATTAGGTTCCTCGTCTATGGCCATTAATTTTATAATATAACACTTATCTCCTTCAACACAAGTAAGTCCTCTACCTCCTTATCTCACCATTTTCACAAGGTCTCAAAATAAGATTTATAAAACTAAAATGATTTTTGACTATCTTCCTACTTTAAAACCTCTTGATTTTTTTACACTCATTCAAGTCAT